CTGCATGTGTCCCCTTTAAACTGGCCTGCCTTCATCCCGTCAGCTGGAGGTCAGAGTCTGCAGCTGAACACAGATAACGACATGTCAACAATAACATTCTCTCCTCAGGGTCCAATCTTTCAGGTCTTCATGCCTCCATATAAGGAACACTCCAGCTCAGATCAGTTGCTAAGTCAAAGAATGCTTTCCTAAATCAGATATGAACTTCTACAACTTATAAGCTAGATAATCATTAAATAAATGTTTGTTTATTGCTACTTATAATAATTATAAGAGAATGAAATGCTTCATTAATCTGTGCTCGATGACTGAAGTGTGAAATGAATGTTATGTTATGATTACAGTGATTGAAATACGTTTCAGCATGTTAATATGACAAGGTCATAACCATTTGCACTCACACAAGGACAAAATAAGGTAAAGTTAAACTCTGACACATAAATAGTCTTTTACCCCAGCCAGAGCCTCCGTATCAAAGAAAGCGTGTTTCTGAGTTTCTTGGAAATATTTCTCAAACTTGCCAACCTTTGGTTGGCTACAACAATCATAACATGAGAACATCAAAACTGGATCACTCTCAGGTGATCTCTCAGTTCTAGAGAAAGCTTCAGACCGGCCACCTGAAGCAAAAGCCTCTTTAACCTTCAAAGCTTTTGACACGTCGTCAAAACCTTTTTGCACCTGCAAAGCTGATACAGAAACAGCTCCTGCTGAACAAGCTGAGACTCCTTAAGAGTCCCAGACACGCGGTTCCATCCGTCTGTTGAGACCTGGAGACAACTCTAAGACCGGTTCAGTGGGACCACAGTTTCATCTACGGACCTCTGTGCCTGGAAGTCCGAGGACTTCGACATTCCGGATCTATCACGAGGGTCATCGAGTGGGTATGTAAACATGACAGATTGCGTCTGATGTGTTTTGATAACAACCACCTTCATAGCATAACGCAATCCAAATTCTTTTACATCCAGAACTCAGCTCTCCTAGATAAGGAGGTTCTGACTAACATCGCATTGACACATAGGTTCACACATCACATTTAGTTCTCTCCATCAAGTAAATGCTTAGTTAACTTGTCATGTTTTAATTGTTTGTAAAATAAATTCTTACTTTTATAAACCTGACTGTTTTTTTAATCAAAACGAAGTGTGTACAAGCCATGTACGAGCCATCTAGTGTTTATATACATATCTATGGTTAGCAGCAGCTGAGGCTTGCATTAGGCAAGCACACCTGGCTGTAGCACACAAAAAGGGGCGGCATCGGGCCAGTTGTCAGACCCATACCAAATTACGAAAATGCAACGCTTACGTTCCAGAACTGAAGGGGGCGCTGTGGGATCAGTTGTCAGACCTATATAGACCTTTCACCTGAGACGCCTTGCTAAAATCAAGCATATGCTGTCGAGAGCCCACCTGGAGCGGGTACTGCATGCCTTTGTAATTTCTCGGCTTGACTACTGCAACTCTCTCTATGCAGGGTTGTGTCAGTCAACACTGCGTCGCCTACAGGTTGTGCAGAACAGCGCTGCCAGGTTCCTGACTGGGACCAGGAAACGGGACCACATCAGTCCAGTTCTGGCCTCCCTGCACTGGCTTTGGATTTCCTATCGCTCACAATTCAAAATACTCGTCTTTGTTTATCATTTCTTCCAGGGTGGTGGTCCCCCCTATCTGGCCACACTCCTGAACAGACATTCCCCATCACGCGCTCTGCGCTCCTCTGACCAAGGCCTGCTCGCTGTCCCTCGGTCTAGGTGTCGTACCCGTGGGGACCGGGCTTTCTCAGTCCTAGCACCGTTACTCTGGAACCAGTTGCCACCCTCTGTTAGGCTGTCCCCTTCTCTGCCAGTCTTTAAGAATCACCTAAAAACACACCTCCTCCGCTTGGCGTTTCCAGAACATGTTTGATTATGGCCCTCTATTATGTTGAATCCATTCCAGTTTTCATTGGTACACTCAATCCATCCACTCAATCCAATTGTGTTTCACACATTTGTATTTTACCGGAATGTTTCATCTATCTTGTAATTTCCATTTTGTATTTTGTAATTTGAATTTCTTTTATTGTTGATTTATTCAGTATAATTACTTACAACTGTACCATGTTCAGCGCTTTGGGCTTCCTGACAGGGTTGCGGAAGGCGCTTTATAAATAAAGCTTTGATTGATTGATTGATTGATTGATTGATATATGAACTACAGCTGTTACTAGTTTACGGTTGTTAATAGGGAGCCTAAGTCATGCCCATCTACTTCCGGACGGGGATAGCCCTAAAGGAGCGCTCAGGACTATTGATGACCAATCACATTCTGGTTAATGTGGGTGCGAGCACGGACTGTTTTAGGGCCATTCCCATCTGTACCTGGTCGGCCCGGGCCGGGTAGTGTAGGTTGTTTACATATCTGGGTGGCCTGGTATTTTTCCGGGCCAACCAAGGCTCATTCTCAGCCCTCTTCTCGAGGGGGTCTGCTTCAGGCCGACCAGGGCCAACACACCCACTGCTGACAGCAAATTCACACCTTCCATTAGAGCAAGCCTCTGATTGGTGGGTAGAATCAGCCCACATGGGCTTGAGGCAAGGATGTGTGGAATCAACCGGGCCAGGCTGGGGCCTACTGGGGCTACCCGGCCCGGGCCGACCCGGCACAGATGGGAATGGCCCATTTGCTACCATGCGTTGTACGTGGGAGTGTGTGTGTGTGTGTGTGTGTGTGTGTGTGTGTAGGGGGGGTTACATTACATTTCGTTGCCCTGGCACAGCGCCATTCCTGTGTCTATGTAGGGGAAACGCTACAAGGGTGCAAAAGGCTACAAGGGTGTTTCTCAATGGCAAGGAACCTTGCCTTGATGTCTTGGCCCCACCCCAGTTGCCTAGGAGCTACGTCATCAGGAGCTGCCAAGACGTGTTCCAATCGGTTCCAATGTTCATGTTCTACCGAGGCATGTGTTCTCCGTTTGTTAGCTGTTTAACTAGCTGAGCAAGTATACACGGGTGGTGTCTTGTAGCCTAGTCTTGGTCAAAATTACCAACAATACACTGGGTATTTTCAAAAAGACGGTGGATCAGAAGCCGGCAGCTACTTCGGGGACAATTTTCAAGTTTAAAAGTAAGTCAGCTAATTTAAAATGTTTTTTTTTATTAATCCAAAGAAGTTATCTATTGTTGGTCAGTTGCTTAGTAGTTGCAGCTTCGGTGGCTAGCGTGTAGTAACTCGCTTATATTTTTCATTTAATAAACATATACACAATTTAAAAAGTAAAAGTCTCGTTATATATTTATATTGAAACTAATACATATAAAATATAACGTTATTTCCCGTGTCACGTGACGTTACGTGACCGCCGTGGAAGCCACGGTCACGTGATGCAAGTCTGTTCCATTTAACCTTTTCTTTGACTAAGGAAGGACAGTGTCCTTGTAAGCAAGGCGCCTGGCCTCCCAAGACATCGCCTTGCAAGTTAAGGCGCCTTGACATTGAGAAACACCCCAAGTCACCTCCCATGTGCCCTTGCTCAGCTAGCTAAATGGCTAACAAACGGAGAGCACACGCCTCGGTAGAACATGAATATTGGAACCGATTGGAACACATCTTGGCGGCTCCTGATGACGCATGTCCTAGGCAACCGGGGCGGGGCCAAGACATCAAGGCAAGGTTCCTTGGCATTGAGAAGCACCCATGGTTGACTGTTGGTGTACCTGAGGCATTTATAGGTACAATGGTTTAGGGTTGTACAGATTAAATGCCTGTTGATAAATCGTATAGTCTGTGGCTGTAATTTGATATTTTATCATTACATTGCTGCCTGCTGTCCTTGTTGGACTCAGTTGGTTTGCTCTGGTTGGGCTGCCTCCCCTTGGATGCTGTTAGGGCTGGGAACACCTGTAGAGGCAGACTAACCTGTTAGGGGTGTTTGGGGTCACGTCCTCTTGCTGTAGCTGCTGCCAGGACTCAACCATTGGGGGTATTTTAATACTTAAAATTTGGAAAATAAAGATTGCAATTTTATCTCCAAGCTTGCTTCCTTCATTGTGTTGGCACAACAGTCAGAAAGAACAAATTTAAATAAAAAATGTGATATATTAACCTGATGTGTTAAACGTGTGTAGGTGGCAGCAGGCTGTGCTGTGTTTGGCTTGCTGCTGATGGAGGATAAGCACACAGTTCATCCTAGACCTGTGGAAGCTTGTTGCCTGTTGAGGTGTTCAGAGCTTCGGCTCAGCTCTAACTGTTAAACCTGGTATTCAGAATTGACTTTTTAAGATCATTTCCCTCATTGAGCGAAAGCATTTGAATAGTTTGGAGCTAAACATCCATGTTTACTAAAGTAAAATGAGTTTCTAATAGTAAAGTAGCTTAGATTTATTAAATGTGAGGGTTCACATATTTGGTTGAGTTGCATTCAGACGTGTAGGTAAGAAATCCAAAGCTTCCAGGATCAAACATCTAGATCCAAATCCAGATTGGAGTGTTTACACCCGTGTCTGAATGCACTGTGCAACTACAGGGAGTGAAACAATTCAACACACACACAGGAAACATTCTGCATCCTGAAGATATAAATGGAGGAGGAAATGCTGCTGGAGCATCTCAAAACAACATCCTCACACACAGCCCTGGTTTGAGTTGGTCTCTGTTCCTAATGCAAGAATCTGGTTCAGGCGCAGTGTGAAGGACGGAAACCTGACAACTGGACTCCGTGTCTGCAGAAGAACCCAGGTCCTGCTGTGGTTTTCAAACTGGAACTGAGCTTCTGTGATTTCCTGTTTCAGCGTTTGGTCTGGGACCAGAGTGATCCTTTGGGATGTTTGGGATGCTCAGTTGTTCCATTCTTCAGTCAGACGGTGTTTACCAGCTTACACTGATGTGGTCAGGGACCCAGATCCTAGCCTGACCTTCCTGACAGGAACAACTGTGGGTTATGCCATAACTCTCTCACTCTTATATTTGAGTTTTAAAATCCTCAAGCTAACTGAGAGTCACGTTTCAGGAGCCGAGTCAAACGTGATGCACTTTTGTGTTTATTCAAGTCTGTTCATAATAAAAATTTACTGTTGCACAAAAATTAAACTAACCACATTTTCCCATGAAAATTGTAAATGAAAAGCTTTTTTAAACGTTTTAAACAATAACTTTAAAACCCCAAACAATGAATTCAGACGTTATGTACAGTGAACACACAGGATGTGTGGGAGGTAAACTGAAAGTGTAAAAAAACAACCACATTCAGAAATAAAAGCTGTAAACTGGAGCAGACACACACGAGCACGCTCATTCCTTATTGCCAGCGGTTGAAATCCCAAACTTTGAAAGACATTTACTGAACAAAACTCAAAACATCTGGATACTAACAAATACAATTCAAGCCAGAGGAATAAACTCAGATATAAGAGTGATGATGAGAAACAGATGAGTTTCGTAAACCGATATAAAAAATCTGCATCTATGTCATCTGCTGTAAATAAAATGCCCTAAAATCTATTCCAGGTTTAACGTCACATTCCCGGTGACCTATACTCCAGCAGGAAGGAAAACCTTCTTTTGTTTTAAAAGCACAGGCTATCCGAGGCTAAGGCAGGATGAAAAAGGCACGAGTTCAGAGATGTTTTAACTCCGTTACACTACACGTGTAAAAAATATTAAAGATTTTCAAATCAGTGATTTCTGATGTACAAACTACAGTAAAATACACACATTCTGGGAAATCTTCTGTTTCAGAAACGTCTTTGCTGCGACTCACCTGCATGTTTTTACCTGTCGACACGGCACAGGTGTGTTAGCTCAACGGTTCATCCAGTCAGATCAAATCTGCAGATTGGAAATAAAATCTAGCCGCTCTGACGGTCTATAAACCCGGTTTGAAATAGAAAAGCTTTAAAGACCAGATGTGTCCACACGAACACGTTTTCATCTTCACAAAACATTAAGATACATTTTCATAACAAAACCACAAAAAGAGTTTAAGAAGATAATTAGTATAAACTTTTCCTGGAGAATTTTAGCTAAAAACTTTAAATAAATCGTCTCAGATTTCCACCACGGTGCTAGCGTTCGTGTGTCTGAAGAGGCTGAGACGTTCTAATCAGTACAAGTGGTCATGTCTTTTGGGTCTGAGCGGTTGACGCTGAAGAGTTTGTAATGCGTGACTTGGACATGGCAGAGATGCTAGTTCAGAGAACAGTGCCTGGAGGTTTGATGAGTCCTCAGAGATGGAAATCAGAATAAAGAAGCGGGTCAGAGGTCGGAGGTAGGTAGATGCGGGCCAGGGGAAGCCTTCCTGGGTTAATTGGAGTTCTTCAGCTCAAAGCGACTGTACACCTGCTTTGGCTTCTTGTTGTACTGGTTCACCAGATCCAGTTTGCTGTGGCCCAGCGTCATTCTCTTCTGGTCATGGCGGTTTATGAAGGCTGGTGGAGAGGTTGGGGGTAGGGGGCCCTGAAGGGTCTCTTGTTCAGGCGAACAAAGAACTGATTCCACCCACGGAGAAGAGCCACGAGGGGACGGGGACCTTCGGAAGTTGTGCGGTTCTTTTTCTTTGGCTGGTTCGACGTCTGAGAAATTGTCACAAGACACGGGCGACCAATGCTTTGGGTAAGGTCTCTTGTCATTGGCTGGGAGAATCCTCTGGCCCTTAGGGTTCAGGTTTGGGTTCAGGTTTGGGAGATATTTGCGGTCGTAGAGAGACAGTTCTTGGAACTTTGAAGAAGGGCCAAAGACGTTCCCCTGGTTTATTTCTGGACTGATCATGTTCCACCCATTAACCTTTTTCTGACTGTAGGCCGGCGGCGGGCGATCGGAGATAGCACTGGGGTTGGCTCCTCCATTAGAAGAGTCTCTAACTGTGGGGGGTAGTCCCAGCACCTTGGCAACACCTAGACCTCTCCTCTCTGGACTGAGATGAGAAGAACCAGCTGGTTCCTTCTCGTCGTTCAGAGTGATGTTGTAGACGCGGTTGGGCTTCATCCCAGGAGCAGCCTTTATGCTGGAGACGCTGTTGCTGGAATGGCTGCTGGAGTTTTCAGAGAAGGCCCGTTCCCGTTGTCTGCAGACAGAGACAGTTCAGATCAGGACACAGTGGACGGTTTATCCTGATGTCTCAATTAAAAAACAGAAACAAGCAATATTTCACAAAAATATTCAATCGATGTTGAAACACTTCCTAAAAACCTTAAGGTCCATATCAGACAGTCTCTGTTAACTATCTGTGTCCACATTCCCCCCACAGAGGCAACAACAACAGAAATTACACAAATAATAAAAACTTGTCTAAAGTCAAGTGGGCGGGGCCAGAATTTCACTGGTATTTGTGTCGTTTTAATTATAATTTCAGACCGTGTCTTTTCTGTGTTGGTTTACAAACTTCTCCTAAACCCAGCTGGATTCTTACCAAACACTCAAACATCATCACAGGATAAACATCTGGATCAATGTCTACAGCAGATTAACACCTGGAGTCCACCTGACTCAACATGGCCCCCACAGGTAATGAACATCAAACATCTCTAACACACTTCTCTGTAATCAGAGTAATCCGGAACAGACTGAGCAATGACAGATCAGCATCAGAATCTCTGAAACTCAGTTACTTTGAGGAAAAGCAGCTTCCTGCTGAATACGAACGCAGATCTAAGTCAAGACGACATCAAGCTTTTACTTTACACCTGTCCCTCACCTGTCGTTGAGGGAATCCATATCCAACAGATCTCTGACGCCGAGGTTAAATCCAGAGTGCCTCATGATCTGGTGGGGGGGGTAAGACATCCCCTCATCCTCCTGGTTGGAGAAGCGGTCGATCACCTGCGAGTCGGCATACAAGCAGCGGAACTCTCGATCGAAGCTGTCGACGATGCTACCTGAGAAATGCATCACCATGTTGCTGTGC